TTTTTTTTTTAAGATTTAATCCCCTCCATTTAAGAAAGAGAGAGTGCATGAGCAGGGGAAGAAGCAGAGGGAGAGGGAGACAAGCAGACTCCCCAAGCAGAGCCCAATGTGGGGCTCAATCTCATGTTCCATGAGATCATGACCTGAGCCGAAATTAAGATTTGGACACTAAACTGACTGAGCCACCCAGGCACCCCTTCCTTGCTTTTTTAAGTTTAACAGAAATATGATACTTCCAGGGTCTTGGAAGGACCATTTTGGATGATGTCATCTCCTGCATTTCTCTACCCAAGGCCACAGGCTGAGCTCCTCTACTCCTGGGGGTCCAATTCTTCCCAGAGGAGGAGCAACCCTCCTTATCACGACCTTGGGACCTTGGAGCACTTTTCACTGAGAGGTAGAAGATTAATGAAATTGTGAGGTCAGAAACCATGTCTTAGCTTTCTGAATTGGATAGACAAGATTATAATATTTTTTAAATTAACCAGAAAAGATTATATTTAAACAGGCTTCCAGATCAAGGAAGGACAACAGGAAAACTGACAACAATGGACTGTGTTTGGGATTTACTGAAATCCTCTGTAGTTATAGATAAAGTTTTAAACTTTCCAATTTTAGTAACATGAACAAAGCATAAACAAACATCTTAGATGATTAAAACGGATACTTACTTTTTTAATGTGATGTATGGTTCCAACTAGTTAAGTCTATAATCCTCCATTTTATTTTTCTTGGTTTAGCCTAAAAGTGTATTTTTAACATATTCTAACTTCTAAAGGATGTGGAACATGAAAGTACTTTGGGTTGCTGCAAATTCAGCTAAAAAAGCACTTTTACATAAAGAAAATGGATGGGTAAGAAAGTTCAACATCAGATCTGAGAGCCGGCTTGCTTGGCTTAAAAAAAAAAAAAATCCTTATTCAAGAAAACTGTGGCATCTGCAGAATCCTTACAGCTTCTGTCTGCTGTAAAATATATTAAATTTAATTGAAACCCCCAAAGGAAAGGATGTTGGAAAAATCCAAGAGAATATGCTTGTACTTTCATACTTAAAAAATATAAATCAGAATCCCAAAATAGGAATTTCTGAGTGGGGTTTTTGCAGTATATGGAAAACGTTTCTACCCATCAGCTTTAAACCTTTAGGAGCAAGTCAGTTTAGCTGTATGGTTTCTTACTAGATCCTCATTTATTTAGTATTTAAAAATATTTTTTAAAAGAAAACTTATGTAGGTGCACTGCATGATTGTTTCTATGATTTAAAAAATATATATAAAAGGTGGTAGAAAAATACTAACCCAGGTTTTCCCCAGAGTGTTGCCTTTTGTGAAGGTTAAATTTTGATAAAGGAGCTAGCGGGAAAAAGAAATGATCAAACTGTAATTTGGTTAGGCTTCTATAGGCTTACTCTTCTTAGTAGTGCCAGGCCCAATTCTCCATCAAATTTAGGAAATACAGTAATAGTCATGACTTCCCATTGTGTAGTTGTCTAGATCTTATAATTATTTTCAATAGTCTAATAAGGGGGAAAAGAGAAAAACACTGAAATCTTTCTACTGACAACAAAAATGTTAGCTAAGACCCATAATGACTAAGGGAGATGTAATATATAGAAAAGATCCCTTTTGTTCGTGGGAAGAAAAAAGTAAAACATCAGAAAAACAAGAAATGACCCATCCCCCCTTCAAAAAATTTAATAGTGGAGACAGAGTGTTTTAGAAATCAGGAATCAACTGTGGGTGTAGAAAGCATATTGCAGCACTGGGGTCTACAAGAAGTCTCTGTTGAGAACACCCAGAGGTAATGAGAGAAAAAAAATCCCACTGGGAGAGAATGTTCTGGAAACATCTAGGCTATGAGCAAACACCTCTTCCCACTCAGTGACCTCTAAATGCGTCACTACTTTACGGCATGATATTCCCATGATGTCAAGAATTAAGGAAAGTGGCCAGATTCTACTCTTTTTACACTTTCTATATTAACATCAGGAATTGTAGTTTACACCTGTAGAAGAGTTTTTCAGTTATGAAACTATTGCAGAATTCATACCCAGGGGCACCTGCGTGCCTCAGTCAGTTGAGCCTCAGATTCTTGGTTCAGCTCAGGTCATGATCTCGGGGTCGTGAGATCGAGCCCCACGTCGGGCTCCGTGCTCAGCTGGAAGTCTCTTGAGATTCTCTCTCTGTCTCCCTCTGCCCCACCCCCACTCTCTCTCTCTCTCTAAAATAAATAAAGATATCTTTTTTAAAAATTCACAGCCAGACTCCAGCGCCCCTTTGTGAGAATCTCCCATGCAGTTTGTAACTAGAAAGTGTGTTTCCAGCCCTGGGTATAATCAGGACAAGCCAGAAACATCGCAGAACATCTAGAGCTAGAAGTTGAGTTTGTTGCCTTTTGTTGCCTCCTGCTAAGAACGCCCCATTATTACCCAGGAATTACATTTTAAGAAATTATAAGGCATTCATGCATTTTTATGATTGAGCAAACGAATGCCGTCTAGCCTACCTTCCAAATGATAAACATACCCCCCACCTAAGACCGGAAAGAGCTACAGGATATTTGCCCTAGGCTGCTTCTCCTCGAATTTCACAGAGCATTCCTCTTTCTGACTTGCAGGGCAAATCCTCGGAATTTTAATTTTGACAATGTGGGAAATGCTATGCTGGCATTGTTTGAAGTGCTCTCCCTGAAAGGCTGGGTAGAAGTGAGGGATGTTATTATTCATCGTGTGGGGCCGGTAAGCAAGCACATGGAATCCTTTGAATGCTCAACAGCTGCTTTCCTTTGCTTTGATGAATAACCGTGTTTTTCATTTATACAGATGCATGGGATCTATATTCATGTTTTTGTATTCCTGGGTTGCATGATTGGACTGACCCTTTTTGTTGGAGTGGTTATTGCTAATTTCAATGAAAACAAGGTAAGCATTCTTGGTTTGAATACCGCAGGGTTTATTCTGTTCTAGCCACTTGCTTTGAGCTCTCTTTTTCTCCCACGGTGTGAAGTCGCATTCAACCCCTAATGTGACTGGTGTAAATAATCTCTATTACTAGTTGACAAGCTACCTCATCGCTGCCTTTCAGGCACACTATTTAAGAGCACGGTTCTCTTGCTAAATTTCCCCTTTTGGTAATGGTATCATTAATTCACTGACAACTGAAAGGCACATCTCCTATTGTTCAAACGGAAAGGAGGGGCAGCAAGTTATGAAAATACAAGCTGAACTAAGGGACGCGCTGATTGCAGGTGATATTAACTTTAACACAATGTAAATTGGATGCTTTGTTACTCCAGAGGTGAACTCGGCATTTTGATGGGGTTAGGGGTGCAGGAGAAAATGTTCAATCCCAATTCACTGAATAAAAAGATTTTCTAATTTCAGAGAAGAACTTTACATACTTTATGAGCTCGGGAAACATTCTGAGATCATAACAGCTCTAACGATCAGTACAAGAGCTCCCAAATGGGAAAATGGCCAGCATAGTTTAAGCATAGTTTCCTGTCAAAAAGTGAGTTTCGGGGGAGAACATTCGACGTCATTCTTCTGGACATGGCGGATATGCCCCCTATTATGTAAGGGTCCAGTCTTCTGGAATCCTAATAATCGAGGTGCATACAGCTTTCGAGCACTTACTGTGCACTAAGGTTGACATATGCTGTTTTCAATTCTCTCGACTCTGAAATGCACAGTGGAAGCGAAAACAGCTTACAGAGGTGACATAACTTGTCTGGGGCTTTTAAGGTGTAGAAAAGCCGGGGCCAGAATTCAGAAGTGGTGCCGACTCTGCAGAGTCTGAGAGTCTTCCAATTCAAGAGTATAAAAATGTCGACCGTTGCCCTGCAGTGAATGAAAGCTAGACGTGCCGCACAGCACCGTGCTGCTCCTGGGATTCAGGGCTCGTACCGAATCGCACACAGCCACATCAGAGCCTGCTGGTGAGGGCAGCTTTACCTGGGACTGTATCATTCATGGTCCCCCCAGGCTCCACACGTGTGGTTCCAGCTACTCAGTCAATTGCCACCTTTGATGTGTGCCTAATGAGGACCTCATTTTGTCCCGGCTTTCAAAGGGTATGACTTAAAAATCCCCCTTTGGGTCCCAACACTACTCCGACCCACAGAAACATGGGATTTTAGTGTAAGAAAGAAGGATAGAGAGAGATCATATTGCCCAGCCCCCTATTTTACTATAACACATTCATAAATGAGTGTCTTTAAGCCCTACAGTGTGTTCAATTTAATACCAAGCAGAAGGAGGAAGATAGGTCTCTTTAGATGCCTTTGAGCCCTGCACTAGAGCAGACACCAGGGATTCCTGAGTAAGAGCAGAAGCCAGTCAGTCAGTTAACAGAGAGCTTAGGTTCTGCTTGCTCAGAACACCGTGCTAGGCCCTCTGAGCAGACACCTGGTTTCAGGAGAATCAGGTCCTGATTTCAGAAGAATCAAATCAGCGACATAAATGCAACAACATAGATGTTCAACAACTAGAGACGAATATATAATCAATCGCAGCTCTTGAACTTAGAGGAATGGCTAAGTAAGCAGAGTGTCAGGAGGTTTACTCACCATACTGGCTGTATTTCTGTTCTGAGGGAAGAAAGGAGCATCTTGGCTTGGGTAAGGGGAACGTGGACATAAGCTCAAGTGGGTGCTTAGAGAAAGAGGAAAAGTAGAAGAAATCACATTACCAGACATTACAAATTTGATTATTTAATTGGAGATCCAAATTTCTGAATTATATGAACCATTGAGAAGAGATCTTTGTTTTCTGTAAGCTTTTCAGAGGGTAGTATGTGAGCTGCTGTATAACAGCATTTATTCATTTATCATTCAGTCATTCGACAGATTTCTTTGAGCACTTACTGGTGCCAGACACTGCTCTTGACCCTGGGGACACAAGAAGCTAAACACACGAACTAAACACTAAACACATAAAGATTTCTGCCTTTCTGAAGCTCACATGCTAATGGTCATACCCAAAGGTATGTGAGCAGATTTCCAAATATATAGGCAGTGGGGAAATATAAAGATATGGGAAATAAGGCAAGCTTTGGGGGCAATGTTTTCACAATTCAGAATTATGGAAAATTATGTCTTCCCTAGAAAATGGAACCCTGTCTAAAAAGTTCAAAGTCTATACTAGTAATATATGTATTTTTAATTTCTTGATTATGAGATAACAGTTTGATTAATAAACTTAATTTCACAATAATAAGCTTTCGGAGGTTTTCAGGCATTAATGAACAGATGATACCACCATGCTTATTATTCTTTTGGGTCATTTCAGAGTTCAACTTTCTAAAATAATTTGTTTTGTATAATTAAGGAATAATATGAAAGTGTGTTGCACCCAGAGAACCCAAAGTATTTGTTTGCAGTTAGTGAGAAAAATGGTTTAGCAATACTAATATTAGAAAAATTAACTTAAAACAAATATCATTATTAGGAATAAGCAGTGTAATTAAATAATTCCAAAAGAAACTAATCCCTAGCAAAGTATAGAACTCCTGAACCATAAAATATATCAAGAAAATATGATCCAAATTATTTTAAAAAGCTAGCAAGTCCAAAATCATAGTGAAAGATATTAACATATTTCTCTAAGAAACTCGTAGACAGAAAAAAAAAAAAGAAAATATGAGATTTGACACAATAAAAACATTTGATCTACTGGACATAAAAAGAACCCTGACCCCAATAATTTTCAAGTATAAAAGGTACCCTCTACAAGGTCATAAAATAATACCAAAAAATTGATAATGTACAGTGCGCATTCTCTGTAATAATAAAAAAAGATAACAAAAATCCCTCATAAGTTGAAGATGTTAAGACAACATTCTGAATAATTTATGAGTCACTGAAGAAACCAGAATAGAAAAGCACAAGACATTTAGATAAATCATTTATAAAAATCATAGATGAAAGCTCACAAGATACAGGTAAATCAGTAGAGGGAAATTTACAACTATAAGTGTACATTTTTAAAAAAATCAAAGATTAATTAATTAGTAATATGTCACATATCCAAATCAATAAATTATAATAAGAACAACAAAGTAAAATGGAAGAAAGTAACAAAGATAAGGACAAAAATTAATTATATAGAAAACAAAGATACGATAAAAGATTCAAGAATGACAAAAACAGATTCTTTAAAAAAATTAAATTGATAAACCTCTCTCAAGGTTGGGCATGAACAAAAATGTGGAAAAGGAAAATAAACAAGCTATAGTGAGTCAAACAGGTTAGGTAATGATACAAGGACAGAAAGTTAAACTTACAGAACAAAACCAAAAGCCATAGAAGGGACAGGTATATATAAAACAGAAGTAGCACAACAAATCAGTGGAGAAGATGAGACCATCAGTAAGTGATGCTGGGGTCATTGAGTGTCTAGATAGAAGAAACTAAACAGAGATCTCTACCTCACAGCATACTCAGAAATGAATTCCAGAAGAATGAAAGACCTACCTATGAAAAACCATTTGTCAACCATGTAGAATTTATTTTTGACCCTGCCGTAGTTGTGGATTTCTTGACTTTAACCACAAAGTGGAATCCATAAAGAAAGAAATTTATAGATTAGATTACATTAAAATGAAAAGTTTCTGAGAGATAAGAGACATGATAAGCAAAATTTTTTTAAAAAAGCATGCTAAGACTAAGAGGAAATATTTACAACTCATGTAACTGACAGAAGATTAATATCCAGAATATATTAAGAATTTCTATAAAACATCCAAAAGTAAATATCCAAATACAAAAATGAGCAAAGAATATGAACAGGCAATTCACATAGGAAGATACAGAAATCACTCCCCCATTTATACACGTAAAAAATGTTTAATCTCACTGATATTAAAACTAAATTACATACATTTCCCCCCCTTCATGGCCAAATTTAAATGTCTGATAATACCAAGTATTGGCAAGAATATTAGGACATGAATACTTGGAGATTGCTAGCAGCAAATTTTCTTGGTTATTCCTCTTTGGACAGTAACTTCACAATATCTGACAAACGTAGAGATGCATAAATCCCTAACCCCAGCAATTCCTCTCCTAGAGATTTGCTATCAAGAAAGTCTCATAGATGTTCACCATGAGGTAATACATGTGTGCTTATTGCAACATTTTTATAGTAATATAAACCTAACTTCCGATATATTTGTACAGTGAGATACTCTGAACAGTTAAACCAATTAGGTCTAGTGACTAGTTGTATGCACAACATAGTGTTCAGTGAAGATAAAAACAAACTACATAAATAAGCACAGATTGGATACCATTTATATAAATTTTTGAAATTCAAAACAAATATGTTCTTATGTATTGATACATACACAAACAGCAAAATCTGAAAACATCGTGAGGGGGACATACTCTTGAAGGACAGTAATTAGCTCTGTAGAAAGAAAGGAAGAATGGGAGTGGGGGGTGGGTGGGTTTTTTTTTCCAGTTCTGCCTTTATAATATAGCATAATGAAATGTCATGCAATATAATATATATGGATATAGCATTTTAATGAAGTACTCCTATATATATGCACACACGTATATATAATAAAGAATATTGTATCTCATTTAGACATTTGTCGCAGCATTAATTCTTCAAGATTAAAATTCTGTGACTTCATACCACTTGAAAATAGCTTCTTTATTATATATATCAGAATGATTTAAAAAAAAAAAAAGGACACAATCACCTTAACCAAAAGCAACAGATAGACAAGCTACAGTTTTGCTGCAGCATTTCCCACAATGAAACGAAAGGAAACTAACCACTTATTAGAGTGGGTATCCCTTTTTGAAAATCTGATTGTATAGAGAACCTTCTTTAGATTTTCCCAAACCTGAATATTATACATCTTCAAAGATGCCAGTTGAAGGCCACCCTTTTGGGGACTCCTCTCAAGACCACATTTGAGAATTCTGACCATGCCTATCGAACCATCATGGTATTTGAAGAATATCTTTATTTCACACCCCCAAATTAGTCCTGTTGGCATCACCACCCCATTTGCAATGTCCTCGGTGTGGAGTAGACGACATAAGGCCTTTTTCTGCTTTCCTTTGTTTATTAAGGGGACAGCTCTGCTGACTGTAGATCAGAGAAGATGGGAAGATCTGAAGAGCCGACTGAAGATAGCACAGCCTCTTCATCTCCCACCTCGCCCGGGTATCAAAGATGCTCTGATTTTATTCATGTTGGGCACCAGTGTTCATGATTCCCCAGGAGTCTAAGATTTCAATTAAAATAATAATCGTGAGGCCACTAGGCGGTTGTGCATAAGTTAATATAGAAACAGGCTCCAAACTACAGATCTCTCCATAGGCTATTAAAATCAACCACCCAAAGGCTGTGCTTCAGTGCTCTCAGGATAAGCCCTAAATGAAAAAATGAATTTTTAAATAAAATATATTTGTGCTTGCCTTTTAAACATATGAGTGAAATGTATTAAACTGACAGAAATTGAATGATGCGGTTCTCCTTCCAATACGGACGGCGTCATGCACCGTCGTTTTAAATATTCAGAACCAGCCATTCCTGCAAAACACCACACAATAGATTGAACTATAGGAGGAAAAAAAAGTAATGAGTTTTAAAATGAGCATTAAAGGAAATGAAAGACAAGAAAGTAAATGTGACCTATGTCTGAAATGCCCTTGCCTCAACCTCTCTTTTGCAGATAATGATGGTTTTAGAGCTAAGATGTATGACATAACCCAGCATCCATTCTTTAAGAGGACAATTGCATTGCTTGTCCTGGCCCAGTCGGTGCTGCTGTCTGTCAAGGTACTTTTCTTTCATGCTGAAACTCCGGGAAGGACTTGTTTGTTCATTGGTGCATCCAAGAATATCGCAAGGGGCCATATCCGTTCAGTCTATGTTTTTTAGTGTAAAAAAATTAGAACTCACAGTCATGTTCTAAGGAGAGAAAGAGAGGAAGGTCTTGATGTGTCTGATGGATGCAGACAAAGACCAGTGCGCTGTTTCTCTTACAGTGGGACGTGGAGGACCCAGTGACCGTTCCTTTAGCAACAATGTCGGTTGTTTTCACCTTCATCTTCGTTCTAGAGGTACGGTAATGAGCCAGCCGGCCCTGGGGGCTGCAGTGGGCATTGCAAAGTAGAGCAGTGTCCTCCTTTGATAGCACCCATGTTCAGCTCTGTGTTCCATTGTTTTTGAAGTTTTTTGGGGGGGTGGGGGAGAGGGGTGGCATGCTCGTAAGGTATTTTCCTTTTGGGGCTGTGAACAAAGATTTCACTTTATATGTCAGATTTGCCTAACGGCAGAAATCGCTAACTGCTGTTGATTATTGTATCTGAATGTTGGCCTGTCTGGTTATGTGAGTTCAAATATTTGTAGCGAACTGCACAAACCACTGTAATTCAGGGACTCAAATCGCAATGTTGTGGCCAAGGGAGTTAGCCCAGACAGGATTATTTTAATATATGGTCCGTATAATATCACTTTCCAGTGCAATCTTCTTTGAAATACAAGCAGATTCTTATTTCACCCCGTACTGGTTGATGTTTCCCAAAATCAGTGGTCTTTTACTTGAGGAAGAAAAACGTCCTGCTATCAGAACTAGTCATAAAACAAGGAGAAGAGAGCCAGAGAATATAGATTTGTAAACTACCAAGCTTTAAAATTTAGATAGATAGATCTATTTCTGTATCTCTGTATCTTTATCCATCTATCTATCTCTTGGTAATAAATTCTTCTCTTTGGTTCCTACCTCCTTTAAAAAATGTGCCTCACATTCACACATTTAAATATATGCTGAACACTCAGCTTCTATTTACTGTCTTCCTTATCTTCCCCCAGGTTACGATGAAGATCATAGCAATGTCACCTGCCGGCTTCTGGCAAAGCAGAAGAAACCGATATGACCTGCTGGTGACATCACTTGGCGTGGTCTGGGTGGTACTTCACTTTGCCCTCCTGGTATGCATGTAATTCAAGTTTATTTTAGTTGATAACTTGGGTTCAGGTAACCCTGTTTCCGGTCTCATTTCAGTCCGTGTCAGCCTACCCTCAAGTGTCAGATGAACCTCCCTACATCCGTCCTTGCCCGTGACGGGCCCTCCAGCGAGCTTGCGCACACAACCCCCCACACTCTTCCCACAGACAAAATCTGGCCCTTCGGAGTCCAAGAGTGGGTGAATCAGAAGAAGAACCTTTAAGACCTCTGGTTTAACTCTCGTTTTCCCAAAGGATAAAAATGAGAGAGAGAGACAACAATGGAAACAGAGATCATGAAACCTGCCTAAATTCACATACAAGCTGGTATCAGAAGGCTCAAACCCAGTTTTGTGAACTGAAGTGTAGCATCCATGCCACTATGTTCTACTCAGTATTTCACAGTGGAATTCTCAGGCACTTTTGCTGCCTTATTTCCTACTGACATCCAGCTGCCATTTCTCTAAAACCCGTCATTCCCAGTGTCTATACCTGAGTTCTCACTAGTTTGCCTAAAATGCCTCCACCCTCCATGTAGTCTGAGGTCCAGCTCAAAATCTATACCTGTGGGTGTGCTTGACTGAGATCTAGAACTGTGTTGTCCAATAAGAACAAAATGTGGCCATGGATATAATTTCAAATATTCTAGGAGCCACATTAAAAAAATAAAAAAAGGAACAGGTGATGTTAACTTAATAATGTATGTTAACTTACCATATCCAAAATATTATCATTTTAACATGTCAGCAATATAAAAATACTCAGGAGAGAGATTACATCCTTTTTTTGTACTAAATCTTTGAGTGTGTGTTTTACATTTATAGCACATCTTAATTTAGACTCACTGCATTTCAAGTGTTCAGTAACCACATGTGGCTGGTGGCTGCCATCCTGGACAGCATAGCTCTAGAAGGCCCTACTCTGGGCTCCACCATTTTCCAGCCTTGATCGGGTTATTTGTCTTCAGTGATCCTTTGTTCCCTGCTATGAACTTGGGGATATAACTTCATAATTTATCCATTCCGTATGAGCATTATAGAGATCAAGCACGTGAAGTTCTTCTAACTGTAAAGAGTATACAAACTCATAACACATTCTTATAAGTACCTTCTTTTTTCAGTCCTCTTTGATCCCAGACAAAAGTAATATTATCAGATTTCCCTGCTCTCTTCCATCCATTCTCCGATCCTCTCCAATGTTAGAGTCACGCCAGAAAAGATCCATCACACCCAGAACCCATTTACACATTACAGAGGGCGTGCTTTCGTATGAAATTGCTGTGCTCCGGCAGGGAGGTAGTGAGTGTAGTTCTTAAAACAACTGTCACTTCAGTGTCAGGGGCTGTGCCAAGCCTTGGTGGGCTCTCAGTCACCCTGATCCATTTCCTCCTCCAACGATAAATGGTTTTGATCACTAAAGACGTGCAAGTCACCATGCTGGGAGTGGAGAAGAATGCAGTGAACAAAACAAAGGCATGTTTTGTTTTATTTTAAAGTTTTAAGGCAGAATATTTAGTCATGATCAAGAGGTTGGGGGGACTTTGGGACAGCTGCAGGTAGGCATTCATGGAAGGCTCCCAAGTCAATGAGAGTTACAGCCATGGTGAGGCAGATGGAGGAGAGACACGTATTCCTGGGATGACACAAGGTAGTGGGAGGTGGCTTCGTCAGAGAGGTCCTAGAAACTGTCCCTACAGAAATGATGGCTACCGGGTTCAGTCTGTAGGACGAGGGGCATGTCAGCGGCTGTCCCTGTGATGGAACGCTGTGGGAGGGAAACAGTGCCTGGAGTAGAAGGAGCAAGGGGAACATGGCATGAGATCTGGATGGCACCTCTCAGGACCTGGCAAAGGATGGGGGTCATCCTCAGAGAAGCCATTGGGTGTCGTCTCTTCCAGAATGCAAGGTGAGAAGCCATCTATAACAGATTTGGAACTAATGTAGAAAGGGGCAGCCAGGTCCATGATTTTATCTTTCCCTAGACAAGTGGAGCCGAAAGCTACTTGGTCCAAGCAGAAGAGTAGAGCAGGCTTCCCAATTCCAGATGTCCCAGAGAGGACATCTCACACCGAAAAGACCAACTTGCCTGTTCTCCCTGACCACTTTTGTTCTCCTCCAAGAACCTCCAGTTCTGGAAGGATGCTCATCCTCCATGCAATTTTGCAGTGGTCTATTGTGAAGGAAGATGCAGTCCTTGTTCCCATCCAAAGTTATTTCTGTGTAGACACATTCATTTCCTTCTACCTCAAGAATATCACCGGACCCCCTTCCTGGGGGCCCATATGTGACTGTTGTCACTTGGCTAGGCAAGGCTCCTCGAGAAAAATCATGCTTTGGCATGAGTTTAATGCCACAGTTGTTATTGCGGTGCTAGCTGATGGGATCTTTGTTTCCGAGATGAAGGTTTCTTAGTCATAAAGCAGACCCAGTCATCTCTTGCTGCCGATTGCACACTTGAAGAATGAACTGGATGTGTTTCTGGGCAAGGGAGACATCTCTGAAATCAGCTTACAGGAATGTGGCCGGTTGGTCTCCAGAGTCTCCAGAGACCTACAGAGAGGGGAAAGCTGACCTCCCGCCATCTTTTCCAACACCACACCTCCACCTTTGCCAGGACTCCTGCATTTCCGGTCTCACTTGGCTTCCTCATGTTGCATTGGTACCCTACGTTTTTCTTGCTCCTCAAAGGAGCTGGTCACTATTTTATGTAAAATAAGTTTTAAAATACAGAATTCAGCTAAGCAAAACAGGGAGCAAAGTTTCATTTAAGATTTGATTTTATAGCTAATATTTATTCATGAGTTTTGGCAGTGACCTTTTCAACACCTTTTAAAGATAAATTTCTTCTAAGAATTTTCACATTTTATTAAACTAATTACTCAGTAGACTTCACAGAAGACTTAAAATGAAAACTGGAACTGTAACAAGATCTTTTGTGCACATTATGAGGGGCTCTCTTCTTTTTAAACTTCAGAACGCATATACCTACATGATGGGTGCCTGCGTGATTGTCTTCCGGTTTTTCTCTATCTGTGGAAAGCATGTGAGTATGTTGTAAAGGATACTATCACAGGTTACATATGCAGAGAAAAAAGGAGTGAAGCCTAATTGACTTCAGCTGTCCTTCTCGGTCTTGGAAGTTAACAAATTGCTGGTCATCCAAAGTCCAAATGAGCAAATATTAAATATTAAAATGAATCAGTAGCTTAGTTATCTTGTGATATGTTTCCTGATATTTATGTTGTTTTGTTTATTCTTCATATTTGCTAGATGAACTCAATCATCAACTAAAGATAACATATTGGGCATGAAAGCAAAAGCCAACAGTCTTCCTTAATACTTCTTTATTTCTATTGTTTTTATTTGTAATAAAGTTATTTTACTGCAAAGAAAAATAATCCTTAATGAAGCTTCATGATTCTATGATCCCAGATTTCTTCATACTTTTTCTTGTTCACGCATACACTCGGCATCTATTTGTCACTTTTTAAACTTGCTTCCTTTTTCATTAGTGACATCATTTCATAAACATTCCATGAATGCACATGTTCAGTACATTCAATGTTTGATGCTATTTAGCATTTTGTCATTGTTTAGGCTTGTTTCTGTGAACATCTGTTTGTGGAAGAATCCTGTCTACGTGATGGGATAGGCCAGAAATGGACAGCCCTCCTCATAGAGACTTAGGCAGCAAGAGAAGAGAAAACAGGAAGCTAGGAATTTTAGGGAGGGGCTTTTATTAATTTGGCTGAAAATGCTGAACAGTTTGAAATACAAGTTGAATTTCTCTCTGTTTTTTTGAATAATATTCAGATTTAATACCCTTTAATAAGAATTAATTCAAAGCAATTGTCAAATGAAGGTCACTCTTGTGCCAACCTGCGTACCTGTCATTCACTTCCCAGGTTGGCCCTGTTAAGTGAATTAAATATTCATTTTCTCCTCCCCATCTTCATCTACAGGTAACGCTGAAGATGCTCCTCCTGACTGTAGTCGTCAGCATGTATAAAAGCTTCTTCATCATAGTAGGGATGTTCCTATTGCTCTTATGTTATGCTTTTGCCGGAGTTGTTTTATTTGGTACTGTGAAATATGGAGAGAATATTAACAGGTGGGTGTATATTTATCTTTCTATTTATTTATCAAGCAAACTTTCTTAGTCATGAAATCATGAATAAAAAATCCAAATGACTTTTGCCTGTTGAAGACAAAAGGGAAGGGGAAGCGATCAGTTGGAAACGAAAACAAAATAAAATGGCCAAATTTTAAATCACATTTTTCTAATTAAAAACAGCCTACATATTGACTTTAGAAACCTTATTTCCATAATATTCCCATAATGTAACACAAATCCATAATTCCAAATCTACCACCACGCAGGAATAACCACTTGTAATATCCTGACGAATTTCTGTCCATCTACTGCCAAAAAACAATATATTCTTTTTTTAATTACACTTTAAGATGACTTTGGGTTTTCCTTTTTCTTTTCTTTTTAAAGCAAAACATGGGAAGTCCTAACTCCCAAAATGGTTACTATGTATGAAAAGCATTTTTCAAAGATTATCTTAAATTCTGTGGAAGCGCCTCATAGATGTTTTTTAAAAAGTAATTACACAACAAATTAAATACAAATGTGTCGTGTTGCAGAGATTACTTACTTGATCCATGGCAGCTCCGCATTTTATAGCTCCATGTGAAAGAAGGAATCACTTTTACTTGTCAAAGCTGGGACCCTCAGTGATTCAAGATGCATGGCCACAGATTGGCGGCACCATGCTAGGGTTGGGTTATTCAGACAGCTATTCTTAAGGGCAAGTATGAATAACAAGCAAATTAAGAGGGTATAGCCTTTAGACATGGTAACTTAGCAACCAAATTTGCTCCAAAAGCTACCTGTTTTAGTGGGGACACCTTACTACTTCATGACAAACCATATTACCCACGTTCTGGTTTTACTTCCTTACATAGGCATGCCAACTTTTCTTCAGCGGGAAAAGCCATCACTGTACTGTTCCGAATCGTCACAGGGGAAGACTGGAATAAGATTATGCATGACTGTATGGTAAACTTCTCTTCATCCCTAACAGTGCCTCAGCTTAGAACCAAATGAAACTCTTCGCTATGCAACATTGGCAAGCGTCATCCTCATTAGCATGAAGACTTTGTGTACAAAACACATAGCCTGGCCGTTTAGTTCATAAAATTGCATTCTTTTCCATTACAGTGTTTGGATATCCAGTGAACCCAGCTTGAGTTATTGTGGTTCCATTTGGCAATCCGAATTATGTGGACATTGTTCCTTCCCTCCTACCTTTAACATTTTGGCAGTCAAGTACAGCCAGGGGAGTTCTGCTTCTTTAACTGAATTTACTCAACAGATATTCCCTGAGCGCCTGCTTTATACTGGGCCATATGCTAGGTGCCAGGTCTCCCATGATTCCAGCGCATGCTCAAGGAGCTTACAGCCAGGCTCTGAGCTACACCCTCCCTTTGGTTCCTCTGTCTTCCTCGCTGTCCCTCCCATCTCCAGTGCAACATTGGCTCCGTCAGGAGTCCCACCCCACGCTAAGACTGCGGTGATATGTTCCTACAGCACTCCGTGTTTCTCCTTTGTAGCGTGTATCCCAACTGTAGTGAGTTACTGGCTTGATTATTTCATCTGTATTTCCTCCCTCACAACCTCAAGAACAACGCTGTCCAGGAGAAATTTCGGCAATGCTGCTGGCAATCTGCTCTTTCCCATTCAGTAGCCCTGTGTGGTTACTGAGCCCTTGAAATGTGACGAGTGCACCTGAGCAACTGAATTCTAAATTTTATCTAACAGTGTTTGATGTTCATTAACATACATTTACATTTTAACAGCCACATGCAGTCCGTGGCTCCCATAGAGCTCTAGACCGGCAGCAACATGAAGAAGGGACAGAGTCTATGTCTTGCTTAGACTTGTCTGTCTCCAACACTGGGTAGAAATCTAGCACATGGTAGGAGCTAAAGAACTCTATGCGTGAATGAACAGGGACAGAATTTACCGAATCAGATACAATAGAAGGCAGGATTAAATAAATTCTAAATAAAGAACAAGCAGAGTGCTATGGGAATGTAGTCTCTCTGGCTGAAAGAGACCAGGTCTCTCAGAGGTGGTGGCATTTTATTGGGCCACTGAGGACAGGGAGGCTTTTGATAACCTGAGCCTTGTGCTCTTCTGTAATGTCCCAGAAATGTGCTCCAAGAATGAGGATTACTGGTTTCTTCTTACACGGTTTGAATGTGAGTCTGCTACGTATAACAAATCTTCATAGATCTTAACCCATTAGTTAGGTCAGAGAAGTCTTTTAGATGCCTTTTTCTTTCACTTTGTGTAGTTCCCATCATAGTGACTACTTAGCATTCAGGACCAGTGGAGGTGACAGAAAGAATGTCTCTTGGAAGAGACCGGTTCATTTTCATTGTGCTTCTAAAATGGCAATGAACTTGGGATTCTCCAAGACTGGAAGTGTAAAATAAATGAAATATTCTTTTTGATTTTTGCCACGGGTGATGTACTCAATGTATGTGGCTTCTGCGAGACTAACTTGAAATTAATTATATTTTCTGTGCGGAGGAATAGTTCCCTCACTACAGGGGCACTCTCTCATACCTCCTCCCTGTCCCCCGTGGCCCTGCAGGTCCAGCCTCCCTTTTGCACTCCAGATGAATTCACATACTGGGCAACCGACTGCGGAAATTATGCTGGGGCACTTATGTATTTCTGTTCATTTTATGTCATCATTGCCTACATCATGCTAAATCTGCTTGTAGGTAAGTGATGTTCGTTGAATATGTTTTAATATCCTTAAGCTCAGGTACTTAGATAATTACGTACAATCTGCAAGTAATTATCCCAGATTGCTTGGGGCGGGTGTTTCACAGCATTAATTATAAATTGTTGCCTCTCAATCCAGAAGCTGAAAAGACCTTTGAAAGGCATGTAAATGACAGTTGATTGCAATTTCAAGAGTTGTCCTATTAATTATCATTAATTTCAAAAGAGCTCTTCTCACGCGTTGAGTTGAACAGATCTCAGGGAGGGCTACCTTTAGGGCCTCGAAAGATCACAGTTATGTTTTTGAAAGATACACGGTGTTCACCCAGGTGTGGGGCCACCCAGAACCCAATCTGACCTTTACAAACTGCCCTGGAACCGTCAACTAAGAGGGAAAGCCAGCTGGCATGGGTATCTCTACACACAGAAGGTCTGTTTTTGCTCATGACCCTCATGTTTTGGAAAAGGCAAGAGGTGGATAAATAGCGTAGTCCAAGTGTAAGATATGCCAACTTGGAAAACACACTAAAAGCACTTTAAAGATTTGGCTTAAAATGTAGGTGATAAAATCCATTATTTATAATAGATGTTTTACTCTTTCTAAGAAATGACACATTAGCCTAATTATCTAACCTCTCCACTTTGCTTCTTTCTTTTCTTAGCCATCATTGTGGAGAATTTCTCCTTGTTTTATTCCACGGAGGAGGACCAGCTTCTAAGTTATAACGATCTTCGCCACTTTCAAATCATATGGAATATGGTGGATGATAAACGAGAGGTAGGAAAGGGGGCTGCTTCTTCTTGCCCACCCCAAAGAGACTCATTGCCCTCCCTCAACGATTTAACTGGTCTTTTTGTCACCAGGGGACATCTACTGAATTTGGAATGGCCATTGATGAATTGTAGAAAGCCGCCATTGACTGTTCAGCAGAATATGCTGGGAGGGGAGAGGGACAGAGTGGTCCCCCTCATGTCCTGTCCAACCATGGACGTCCTCTTCTTTGGACATTCAGAAAGTTACCAAGGAAGGGAAACCAAGGAAGCTCTGAAGAAGCTTCTTCTACCCCCCCCTGGGCTGGGGGCAGGAGAAGGGGTGAAGTTCAAATCACCAGAGCGATGGTGTAACACAGAGCCACAGGCAGCCACCAACTGCAGTCTTAGTTAGTTATTGAGTGGTTTCTGAAAGTTATTATTTTTAATTATTTTGGACTTATTATTTGAACGCTTTCATCATAAAGCTTACCCAAGATTTCCTAGAATTAGCCAAAGTGGCAGCACCTTCTTCTGCCGCTCCTCTTCCTCCTCCTCCTTCATCCCAGCAGACACTCGGGTGCTGGGGATATAGCGATGAGCACAGTGGAAATTCGGCCCCCGTGCTCGCAGAGCTTCTGTTCTAATAAAAAGTGAAACAATAATTATAATTATTGTTATTACCTCAAGAAGCTATAAGTACTTTGCAGAAGGTAATAGAGTAGAGATGGGTTGGACTGGGGGGCAGGCCACGTTAGCAGGGTGGCCATGATGGTCTGGCTGGGGAGGGGCTGTTGGACCCAACCTCTGAAAACCAAGGAAAGTTCAACTGTGGGAAAATCTGGAGGGAAGATCCAGAAGTCATTGCAGGAGGAGTTCCCAGAGGGCGTGAAGACCAAGGAGCCAGAACAGGCTGAGGAAAAGGGCATGCCAAGCTAGGCCTGCACGGCAATGCCCGGTTTCCCCTCCCCTCTGCCAACTCCCCCCTGTTCCCCAGGACCAGGCTCAGGGGGCTTTCTCTGAGACAGTGGCCTGCACGTGTGGCCATCTGGCCTGGCTCTCCCATCTCCCCTCGATCCACCTGCAGCTCCAAGATGGCTGCCTGCAGGAACCTGCTTTCTTTGGACATACACAGCAATAATAGCACCACCGGTCACGGGTTAAGGTGTCAGTAACTGACAGGAATTCATGAGTTGCCCCTGCCCCTGTCTCTTGCCCAGGGCCTGAATTCACAGACGCTAGGTGGTGTTGCCTGTGAGGGAGCAACATGTGTTCGATTTTCAGGACCTGGAGCTGCTCTGACCAGGTTCTCTTGTATGTAATTGTTCTAATTATGGAGAAGACCTGAACGAGAGTGATGATTCCCTAGAAGAACCACTTAGAACGAGTGTTTAGAAGTTTGTGGCATCCGGGCGAAGTGAAGAGGAGGATCGTGTACCTGGGAATGTTCTGCTTTTTTGTGATAACGCATTACCAACCCACTCAGCATGTGTTTTCGAGAAACAGATGAGCAGGGGCTGAGTCAGTGAAACAGGCGGGAGAAGAGGAGGCTGGCAAAGCAAGGGCTGAGGCTAGGGAGGCAGAGGGCCTGCTTGGTTCCCTCCTAGGCTCCCAGGGCTGCCGGGTTCTGAGATCCCACAGAACCGGGGACGCTCCAGCAGAAAATCCAAGGGCTCAGCTTTCAGTGTGGTGCTCCTCTCAGGCACACACCCTCAGCAGTCTCCGGAGAGGCCAACAGCTCCCTTGTTACCTACCTTTTGAGAAAAAAATCTGGCATTCTGGGTGGTTTTTGTTTTTTGTTTTTTGTTTTTTGTTTTCTGTGGAAACAGAATCCCAAGTGAATCATTACGGCCTGAAGATGATTTACCAGTCACTGTGTTCTGCCCGCCAGGGGGTGATTCCGACTTTCCGGGTAAAGTTCCTGCTGAGGCTGCTGCGGGGGAGGCTGGAGGTGGATCTGGACAAAGACAAGCTCCTGTTTAAGCACATGTGCTACGAAATGGAGAGGCTGCATAATGGTGGTGACGTCACTTTCCACGACGTCCTCAGGTACGAAGGGGTCTTCCCAACTGCGTGTCACAGAGCTGACCCGAGTCCAGAACCTGAAGCCGGGGCCGTTCAAGGCCTTGTGAAACACAACCAACAAGGAGGTTCATAAGCCAAGATGCCACACCCCCTGAGGTGATGAGGCGAGGCTGCCCTGCTCGGGTTCCGAGTGGCCTTGTCACTGTCCTGTAAGGACCGTGTCTGAATGAGGGCCTCACACACGAGCGGGGAGAAGCAGTGGCCTGATATCCCCAGAACTGCCCCTTACTGACTGGGGAGCTCCTGACGGGGAGAGGTAGGGGGCCTCGGGGAGAGTGGCCGCCCCTCGTTTTGTGAGGAAGGATCTGGTCCCGGAGAGTCATGGGACTTGCTCAGTGACGCAGCCTCAGTGGTCAAGCTGGGGCTAATGGGCAGATGTTCTCACTCGTGAGGCTGCTCTGTGATGGTTGCCCCCGCTTGGATGGCAAACCACATTTTCCATTCCGTGAGCACCCAAACAGGACAAAGGGAACAAAATACCATAAACTCAGTGGTTTAAACAAGTGTATTGTCTCGTAGTCCTGGAGGCTAGGAGTTTGAATTCAAGGGCTCGGCAGGGCTGGTTCCTTCTGAGGCTGCGAGGGGGAATCTGTTCCAGCTTCTGGGGTTTTGCCCACCATCTTTGTAGAAACACCACCCCGATCTCTGCCCCCATCTTCATGTGTGGTTCTCCCCATGTGCATGCGTGTGCCTGCATGTATCCAAATCTTGCCTTTTATAAGGACACCATTCATATTAGATTAGGGAGCCATCCCGTTCTGATATGACCTCATCTTAACTAATTACATCTGCAGTGACCTATTTCCAAATAAGATCACATTTTGAGATATTGGAGGTTATGACTCCAACATCTAATTTTTTAGGGGGAAAACAATTCAATCCATAACAGCTTTTTAAACAGGAATCCATGCATAGAATCCTGAGGTCCATGGACTTGGAAATAATCACATCTTTATTTTCATGAATCACTCCCTGAAATGCAGCATTTTCTTCAGTGATGAATGCAGGCAACAAACCGCAGCCATCTTAACAATACGTGCGTCTTTGTCACCAGCAGAAATCACAGGTATTTTCAGAGCACCTCACTGACACGCCTGGTAGCTTAGATATCCTTTACACTCGCCGGCACTTCTAAGTTGTCGTGGTCGTTTGACCTCAGCTAGATGTTAGTAGTTAAAGCAATAATAAAGAAGCATTTATGTTACTATGTCACCATCTTGTTAAAAATTTTCTAAAATTAATTGTATTTCTTTTTTTATCGACGTAGAGTTGACAACAGTATTACACTGGTTTCAGGTGTACAACACGATGACTCAGCAACTCTGTATGTCATGCTATGCTCACCGCAAGAGCAGGCAACCGCAGTCACCAAACACCGCCATCACAGCATCATTGGCTAGATTCCCTCGCTACACTTTTCATCCCGGTGACTGATTCATTCAACACCAGAAACCTGTGCCTCCCACTCCCCTTCATCCGCTCTGTCCATCCCCCGAGCCCCCGCCCTGCTGGCAACCACCAGTTTGCTCTCTGTATTTATGGGTCTGCCTCTGCTTTGTTTATTTTTTAGATTCCACATGTAAGTGAAATCACATGGTATCTGTCTTTCTCTGTCTGGTTTATTTCACTCAGCATAATACCCTCTAGGTCCATTCATGTTGTTGCAGACAGCCAGATCTCATTCTTTTTTTTTTATGGCTGAGTAATAGTCCATTGTATGTCTATACCACATCTTCTTTATCCATTTTGTCATCACCTTTTTTAAGAAGATATGAGAACTGTATTTCAGTAGAGTTGGTTTCCTTTGTAATCGTATGTATTTTATTTTATGCATTTAAAAGTTCTTCTAGGAAGAGTCCCATAGGCTCCACTCTCGAAGAGGCCCACCCACGGGAAAAGTCAAGGCCCTCCTCTAGCAGCAACTGTTTTCATCATGCTGCATGTACTTGACAGGTTAAGTGGTGGGTGTGGTGGCTCACATTCAGCGGCCCTCAGGTATACAGAAATACGCTTGTGACTGAAATTTGAAAAAAAGGTCAGAAGAGGAAGGACCTGGGAGAAGTTCTTGCAAGTTAATTGTTTTACTTCCCACTATTCACTTCTCCCAGGAGCAAGCTAAAGGGCAGAAAAAGAGGCACAAAATACATGTGATTAGCCAAGGATGCCGTCTCTCTCAGAATGTCACCAAGTCGTTCCTCCTGGTGACAAATATTTCTAGGCTGAAAGGGAAGCACGGAGACAGACCGCCGTCATGAGCAATTTATCATTCGGCCTCTCTGGAAGCCAGTGAGGCATCTGATGAAGTGGACCCAGGCGAAGCTGATGGGGGCGCCCCTTGCCCCTCCCTGCCCCTCCCTATAGCTCAGTAAATGATGAAAACAGTTTGGCAGTGACGAGATTCCGGATGTGGCAGGGATGAGAGGAAGAGCAAACACGTTTCCTTCTTCCACGGTGGGAAGAGCCTTAGCAAGGAGAAGGTCCCGGTGCTGCCTGGGGAGGCCTCCTGAGCACCTCCGAGCTGTGACGTGGGCCGCGGAGGTGGCCGTGAGCTCCCAGACAGGCAGGCAGGGGCTGAGTGCTGAGCTGGGGTGTGGTGGGGGCACCGGGGGGCGCCGAGCTGCAGAAGGGGCCGCCTTCTCCTTTGGCCGTGGACCTCTCAGCCTGGGTACGGTATGAGCGTATTCCTGCCCTGGGGCCCTGAGGACGCAACCTGTCGGCTGTGTTGGCTTCATCTGCCACTGCCTGGAGCTGTGGTGCCAAGGTCAGAATGGGAGCGACTTTGCACCCACCAAAATAAATGAGGAGGATCCAGGGGCACAAATGAGACCAATAGAGAGGGACCTGGGGGGGAGGGGAGGGAGCAGGAAGCGTGACCTTTGGCCAAGCCTGTTACCCATCCCCAGCTGTACCTGAATGTGACCAAATGTGACCAACGTATAGAGAGAGCGCTCTTCCTTCTACAGGGAATGTTCCAGAGCCTTAAGCCGCTGACAATGTAGATGAGGGCCCAGCCTGGATCTTTTGTTTTACAAGCACTTACAGGGCACTGACTCCTGTAAACACCTCACAAGTATTAACTCAGTCCTTTAATAAGGTGGGTATCATGAGTGTCCCCGTCTTACAGAGGAGGTGACATAACTAGCCCATGTCCCCCAGCAAGTCCGGTGGCACAGGGACCCTACCGTGGTTGGACTGAGCGATGTGCTCTCTGGAGTTTGAGATATCCACTGGTCAGAGTCCCGGGGGAGTCAGACCTGGACTGCTGTCCTGTCCCCCCCCCAGCATGCTGTCCTACCGGTCGGTCGACATCCGGAAGAGTCTGCAGCTAGAAGAGCTGCTGGCGAGGGAACAGCTGGAGTACACTATCGAGGAGGAGGTGGCCAAGCAGACCATCCGCATGTGGCTGAAAAAGTGCTTAAAGCGCATCCGAGCTGTGAGTGAACTGGAAGTGTCTGGGGTTTTGTTTCCTCCTCTCAAAGGAGGAAGAAGAGGGAGAAAAGAAAAGAGCTTTGGGCGCGGGATGGGGCGCCTCGGGGGGCTCAGTGGGCTAAGCGTCTGCCTTCGGCTCAGGTCATGATCTCAGGGTCCTGGGATCGAGCCCCGCGTCGGGCTCCCTGCTTGCAGGAAGTCAGCTTGAGACTCTCTCTCCCTCTGCCCCTCCCCCCATGCTCTCTTTCTCTCTCTCAAATCAATAAATAAAATCTTTAAAAAAGAAGAGAAAAGAGTTTCGTGAGCAACAGGATGAGAGCCTCCTGTGATTAGCCTTGTGGCCCTTCAACTATGTCAGCTTCATCCCCTTGTGATGGCCACATGCTGATTTGCGCCTCAGCTCCAGTCCAGACCCAGCTGTGCCCTCTCTAGCAGAGTCCATAAGACGTTCCCATTGAATCACATTTTTATAATAGAACATGAATGTTTAGAAAGCAGTTTACTGAGGAGCATCTGGGTGGCTCAGTCGGTTAAGTGTCTGGCTCTTGATTTTTGGCTCAGGTCATGATCTCAGGGTCATGAGATCGAGCCACACATCGGGCTCCATGCTGGCCATGGGGCCTGCTTAAGAGTCTCTTCTCTCTCTCTCTCTCTCTCCCTCTTCCCACGCCCCCCCACCCCCCACCCCAGCTCGGCGCTCTCTCTCCTTAGGAAAAAAAAGGCAGTTTATTGATATTAATATATTTGTGATCTCCATTTATCAAACTCAACTGTTCAAAATGCCCAAAATCTCTACATGTTGTGTGGCAACTGAATTTACAAAACTACTTTTAAATTGTTTCTAACAATTCCACCATACCATTGATAATATTGTTTGGTCTTTAACAAAGGCCACCTCTCCTGGGAGTTTAATGATCTGTCTGCTGCCTTCGGAATTACAAGCTTATAAGAATCTCTGACTCATAAATCAATGAACACATACTATGTTGATATACATCGTTCTAGTAGATAATTACTTTTATGAATGTTTTTGACTTACCCTTCACAGAGGAAAAAAATCAAATTAATCACTAAATATATATATTTAACAGACTTTTTAAATCTGGTTTCTCAGAACACCACCAGCTGCAGGAAATACGTCTTTCTATTGGAGGAGAAAAGGTCCCCAGAGAAACGAAACAGCCCAAGCCCCTACTGCAAAGCCACAGTCACAGCTGACCCTAGCCCTGCTCACTCTAGCGATCCAGCCTTCCCCCCACAGGCCCCAGGAGGGTACGGGGAGCTGGACCAGCACCAGACTGGGCTACCGAGTGTGTGCCAAAACAGACTGGCCTGCTCCTATCCAAGAACCAAGGCAAGAGCAAGGGTTTCACCCATCCACCCAAGGCTCTCTGCTTCTAACAACCCAGAGGAAAAGGGTGGTCACTACTGGCTTAATGAGCACAGAGCAAAATAAGAAGGGAAAAAAAGAGAACACCTACATTAGCGATTCAAAAATTCTATTTTAAGTACAACAGAGCTGTATCAATGGACATACTTATTCCCATTGTTACGCAAATGAGCATGGGTTGGGGAGTCTCTAAGCCCTCCTTCATAGCAGTGTGATAGGGAAATTAGTTAAGCATCCTTATTTGGAAGTTCCAAAGAGGTCACCAAGCATACAGGTTCTTTGGGGAGGAGAGAAGAAAATATGATTTGAATGGTGGGGGGCCGGGGGGACGTTGGGCTGATTTTTCTGTTACCGAGAGAATAATCATATTTCCATAGAAACAACAGCAGTCCTGCAGCATCATCCACAGCCTGAGAGAGAGCCAACAGCAGGAGCTGAGCCGGTTCCTGAATCCCCCCAGTATCGAGACCACCCAGCCCAGTGAGGACATGAACGCTAACAGTCAGGATAATAATATGCAACCTGAGGTACGGTATGAGGCGTCCTTCCTCCAAGGGTATTAGGTGCATTTTAATAAAAATAAAAAAATAAATTGGTGCTGTTCACATAGCCATTTCAAACAAGGTGACAGTATTTCTAATTGGAAGTTTGTTAAGTTAAAAACAACTGGAACATGTTGATCCAGATTGTGTCTGGATCTTTGCAACTTGGGTGAATCGTTTGGGGTTGTTTCAAAAGATTCTGATTCTGAGTTGTATGAATACAAAAAAAAAAAGGGTGAATGCCCTGAACTCACTAGTTCTGTCGATTTTTGTCTAAAGAGTTAACACCGTGTCTCCATGGTCTTAACTGGAGTCCAGCGATATTACATGAAGAACGTGGTTTGCCGGAAACTCTGCCCTAAATACGTTCTTCTACCAAGTCAGAGGAACTTGCAGTAGAATCCGTGGAAATGTTTGTAATTGGCCACCAACTTCCTTAAATAGTCAGACTCATTAAGGATTTGTCCTTCCTTAGTTGGGCATCGGAAGAGCATATGGAATTCAGGAGGATTAGCCGGAGGACATTTTTACTAGGGCGTAGCTTATTTCCATTTCCAGATGCAATGTCCCCATGTCCATACAAATGCGCAGAGAGGCGCGGACACCCTGGAGAGCCTTGCGCAGTGACCAGCAGCGGGCAGGAAGTCCTGCCCTTCATGAGGGCGCATTCGTGGCCCGGCTGGAGTTGATCCAGCTTCCCGAGATGAGCGCCCTGGCGGGGTCGGGCTTCGTGGTGTGCGGAGACACAGCCCATACAGCTCCGCGGTAAATACTGAAGCCTGAGGCTCGGCGGCCCGGCGGGATGCTCTAAGGGGACCTCTTGTTCCATAGCCCAGTTTGGAGTGGATTTCATGTTGTTGGCTCCCAACACGTAGGCATCATCTGCCACCGACCCCAGGGACTCGTGCAGGGACAGTCAGCAAAGGCGGAGGGGCAGAAGGATGGGGGGGAGGGGGGTGAACATAGAGGCTTCGACAGCGGCCCTGCCACCTGTCCACAGTGAGGATGCGCGGAGCAGGGGTAGACGGAGCCAGCCAGCCAGGCAGGGCTGATGAGGCTGGCAAAGCGATGATTGCAGAGCTCTAAAATAGAGGAAAGAAAAGAAAAAAAGCCCACGAGGTCACAAAAAAAACCAAGAGGAGATACCGAAGAGATGTGAAGACCAAGACACTGATAGGAGAGAGGAAGGTGACGGTGCACCAGAGAGTGTAAAAGGTGTGGAGAGTCTCAGCCATTCTCTCTGAATTAGTCTTAACTGGTATAAGCTTCCTTGGGCTCCGCGCTGCCGTAGAGTTTTATCTGCAGAGAGGCTAGGACTGATCTCCAGGTTGGCAAGAATATACTTCCGCCAAACCGGGCAGTCCCTGCTGCCCCCCTTCCTTCCTGGTCTGTGGCGCCCCCCCCTCCCCCGCCAGGTGCTGGCGAGCCGGGGGGGCGGAGCTGTGGGAGTGGGGGAACCATGGAGGGCTGCCCAGAGAAGGCGCTACCTGGAGAATTGCGCTCTCTTCACGTGCAGCGGTGACTCTGACTTTTCTGGACTCTCTGAACCCATTTTCTCTTCACCCTTCCCCATTGTGCACTCTGCGGCTGCGGTACTGTTTTCCCATGGCACTTTCTTCCTTTCTTACCATAAAATGAGAGTCCAGACCAGTGCAGAGGCCAGAAGGGGAGCAGAGCGGTCAGAAAGAGCCCTGACTGCCTCACTCTCGCCCCGTGCAGACCAGCAGCCAGCAGCAGCTCCTGAGCCCTACGCTGTCGGACAGAGGGGGAAGCCGGCAGGACGCCACAGACCCCGGGAAACCCCAAAGGAAGTTCGGGCAGTGGCGGCTGCCCTCAGGTGTGTGCCCTGGGTCCCTTCTCCATTGACTCAGTGTCTACGCTCAGTGGGCTTTGGGTCTCGGATTTCAAGTTCAGGTCTGCCTCTCCAGTTCCTTAGACTCCTCTCACTACTGCTTACACTATCTGTCCTTTTCCTTTGTGTTTATATTCTTTCTTTGTATATACTAACAAACACCTACTCACCCATATTTCTATGACACTTATATTTGCCCAGATTGGAACATATAGTGATTTTTTTGGTTAAGTTTTTTGTGATTATCTCAAAGCGTGGTGGTGGGCGGGTAGCGTGTTTTCGAACGGTATTACTATTGCCCACGAACAGAATTTTCAAGTCCATGCATATAAAGTTTATGAACATAAAGAACCGAGAGCTGGGAGGGGTTCATACTTACCACCTGTGGGGGGCGTGGTTAGCAGGACTGGTTTAGTGGTTACTGCTGGGGGGATCACCGCTTTTCGGGAATGGCTTGAACAAGGGTGAACAGCTCCGAGTTGCTCATAGGACTCTTGTCAATTCCACAGCACCCAAACCAATAAGCCACTCAGTGTCTTCGGTCAACTTACGATTTGCAGGGCGCACAACAATGAAGTCTGTAGTGTGCAAAATGAACCCCATGACCGACACGGCGTCGTGCGGTTCCGAGGTTAAGAAGTGGTGGACCCGGCAGCTGACGGTGGAGAGTGACGAAAGTGGCGATGACCTTCTGGATATTTAGGCGGACGCAGCGCCGAGCAGGGTCTCATGGGGAACACTGTTTTCTGACATTGTCCTCCTACGGTCTAACATCTGCTAGTGAGCAGTCCGGACTGGAGACGTCATTTAATTCCACCTTGTCACGAGATTTTTTTTTTTTTAAGTGGATTTTTGTCCTGCGGTAGGACGGCATAAACACTTGGTCTGTGGTAGCTGTGCGCATGAGGGCTTGTTACCGGGTGTTCAAGAAAATTCACCTGGTGGTAGTATCTGTAATATTGCCCAACACTAGATGTAGACCGTTCAAACACATCATATACCCTGTGTACGTGAACTAAGGTGTATCTTCAGATGCTCTTGTGCGCAGTATTACCACCCCCGACAGAGCCAAGCCCGAAGCGGCTGATAGTCATGGTGCCGAAGCTACAGCTTTAGTTCCTGCTTTTCCCTCTTCCACTAGAAATACTTCCTGTGGGAAAATTTATTATTTATGATTGATCTGAAAAGGTCAGCACTGAGCTCATACGAAAATGATAGTAGTTTTACAAACTACAGATTCTGAATTTTTAAAAGTATGTTCTTTTTCTCATGTTATTCTTAAAAATCTGCGCAAGATATTTAGAGGTCAGACCAAGTCAATTTCTGGCCTCAGTCACTCTGATGAAACCGTCGCCTGCTTCCTAGAGAATTGTGTGTGCAGGGACCAGGCAAAGAAATTGGCCCAAGGAGCCAACTGGTTTAAAACAAACATGTACATAGATCGCTGGAGGGACTTGCTTTACATAAAGATGTTGAGTTTCTTTCTAAGCCTTTGAATAGCTAAGTTTAGCAAAAAGGGTAAAACTACATGATTCAGCTTATTAAAGAAATCTTCAGGTGTGTCATGTTATCACTGGCTTCATTTCCTACCCAGGGTGTGTCCCATTTGCCATAAAGTCGGCAAAGACATCATGAGTTGATCCCAACACACCAGTTCCATGTTCAATTCAAAATGACTCCCTGCTACCAGACTCTTCTATGAAAATAATGGCAACTTTGTAAAATCCTGCTTGGAACTCACAGTTTAGGGACCCCACAACGCAGGGGTATTTGTTTCACACACCATGTGCTCTGGGAAAATTAAAATGCGACGCGATTACAAAGTACCTGGGCTTCTTAGGCTGGGTCAACCAAGTAGAAGTGCATCCAGGCGCTTAACTACATTATTTTTGATTGGAGATTTGCTGTTTCGATGATTTCTTTTAATGGAGTGATGATCTCCGAGTCCTTTGACACACCAGGTTGCTTTATGATCTTTTTCTCTATTTAACGTTCTTAAAATAGCCGAAACCTTTCTGTATAACAAACGTAACATTGTGGTACCATCTATTCTTTGTAGGATCAATTGTGACTCTAGGATAATGGGTAATTAAAGTCAGTGCGGCCAAAAAAGATTTTATTTGGTTTTATGTTCAGTTGGAGTTTACTTTTTGTACATAAGCAAATCAAATAAATATTGACTTTGTAAAAGAATTTACTCTGAGTTGATGGTCATTTCTAAACCCTTTCTCGTGTGTGGAAGGAGGGAAGGGGGTTTTGGGGGCAGGATCATTAGGAATCAGGCACTTTGCAAACTCTGAATATTCTGTCTATAATTAGTTGGCAAAACTCTGTCCCTGATCTTCATTTCAGTTCAGTCCTAAGCCAGAATGTTCCTTTCACATGGGTGCCCATAAGGCTGAGTGAATACCTTCCAAACCCACAATGAAATAGAAAAGGATCTTATGTGGCCCAGGCATGAGCCTGTACTCGTGCTGCATGAAAACGAGATTTTATTTTTTGCCTCATTACACTTGAGTAAAACAGCTTCATTCTCAAAAAACTGCTGAGTCCTTCCTACAACGTCTGTTAACTGGTGTTCAGCGGAACATCACTGTTGTTCATTCTGCAGTGAAGCAAAGGGCCAAATAGCAATGCATTTGAAGTCACAGCACCCTACATTTTCAATTAAGGGAGACAGCCAAAGAATTTCTGTGGGACTCATCTCTACTCTTTCCTGAAGCCAGCAGAGCACACCGCAAGCTGAGAAGGTAAGTGCTACCCCTCTTAGATTTTTCATCAACATATAAAGAGTCCAGTTATGCAGATTGGAAAACTTCAGCCACAACATTCCCTGATCCTTAGGGAGCCAGACACTGATAGTAATCCTCTCATCATGCCACCACGGCCTTTAATTAAAGGATGCTGTTGGTTCCAAGCACACCAGAAAGCATAAGGGGCAGAATAGTTGATCCAGAGCCCCCAACGAGACCAGACCACACATGCATTGCACATATGGCAATTCTAGGGGACTCACAGGGAACAGGGATGGAGAGAATGGCCGGACCGATGTTCCTCACCCTATTCTCCGTGGTCGGTTGAGAGCAGCACCCATCTTCAGCGACTGTCCAAGCTGAATAAGATAAGGGCATGTAGAAGAAAAACCGGTTATAAAGCCTTAAGCAAAAGCATATTCAAAGCCAGTTGACTGATGTGTCTGCCTGCTTCTTTGTAGGAAGGGGCAGACTATAGATAAGTGGTTTTCAATTGGTTGCTTGGCAGTGGTGCTCTTTCTCAAACAGGGTCCTTCAAAAGTTCCCAAAATATTAACCAAGCTAAAGCAGGGCATCCCTAATTGAAATTAGGCTGAAGATGAGAACCCCACTCACATGGTCTCTTTTCACCTCCTGATATTGATTGAATTGTGCCCCCGCCCCTCCAAAAGAGAGACATTGAAATCCTAACACCCAGTACCTGTGAATGTGATCTTTGGGGGGGAAGAGTCTGCAGATGTAATGAGTTAAGGTGAGGTCATACCAGAGGAGGTAGACCCGTAATCCAACATGACTGGTGTCCTTTTAAGAAGAGAAAGTCACACAGGGAAAAGAATGCCATGTAAAGACACAACACAGAGGGAAGACGGTCATGTGAAGACAGAGGCAGAGACTGGAGTGATGCTGACACAAGCCAAGGAATGTCTAGGGCTGCAAGAAACTGCAAGAGGCGACTAAGGATCCTCCCCTAGAGGCGTTAGAGGGAGCATGGCCTTGCCAATACCTTGATTTTGGATTTCTAGTCTCCAGAACTGGAACTGAGATGATAAATTTTGGTCGTTGTAAGCCACCCAGTTTGTAGCATTTTGTTACAGCAGCCTTAGAAAAGGAATACACCCCCAAACCCACTCCAGCCCCCAAAGATGGCCTGAACCATCCCAGTGCTCCAAAGAACCTAGTTGGAAAAACTCTAGTACAGATCAAAGATCCTGAGTTTGGAGTTCGACAGATGTTTCAAGCCCTGGATTTACTGGTTACTCCTTGTTTAATCTCTGATGAGTTTCATACCCTATCCGGGCCAAAATTTAGCTTCTTGCTTTTAAAAAAAGGCAAGAGAGGGGCGCCTGGGTGGCTCAGTCAGTTAAGCATCTGCCTTCGGCTCAGGTCATGATCCCAGCGTCCTGGGATAAGCCCCACATCAAGCTCTCTGCTCAGCGGGGAGTCTGCTTCTCTCTCTCTCTCTCTCTACCTGCCACTCCCTCTGCTTGTACTCTCTCTTTCTCCAAATAAATAAATAAAAATCTTTTTAAAAAATGGTTTAAGAAAAAAAGGCAGGAGAGGTGAATTTATTCACTTAAAAATAGAAGCACCGTATGATTCCAGCATTACCACTTCTGGGTACATATCCAAAAGAAATGAATGCAGAGCCTCAAAGAGATATTTTTACACCCCTGTTTATGGCAGCATTGTTCGCAACAGCCAAGAGAGAAAGCACCCAAATATCCATCTTTGGGTGGATGGATTAAAAAAAACGTACATGCATATGATGGAATATTACTCAATCTTAAAAAGGAAGGGAATTCTACTACAGGTAACAATAGGATGAACCTTGAGGACATCGTGCTAATTGAAATAAGCCAGTCACAAAAAGATAATTACTGTATGATTCCCCTTATATGAGGTATCAAGGGTAGTAAAACTCATAGAAACAGAAAGTAGAATGGTGATTGCCAAGGGCTGGGGGACAGAAATTGTGCAATGGGTATAGAATTGCAGTTTTGCAAGATGAAAAAGTTCTGGAGATTGTTTACATAGCAATGTGAATATACTTAACGCTATTAAAATTTATACTTAAAAATGGTTAAAATGGTAAATTTTGTTATATGCATTTTATCAGAAATAAAAATTAAACAAAATTTTTAATATATCCTGTCATCTGATCCCAAAAGCTAAATGACCAAATTGAAATAGCAAAACAATTTCAATGCCACACTTAAATTGTGCTTCCATATCTGCTTGCTTTCTGTATTTGAGCAGTATGCCTGGTTTAAATTTAATATTTTATATTAAATTTATATCCCCAATGCTGCATGTCACTCATTCAATTAAAAAATCTGCCTGTAGTATGCCTAGTAAATATCTGAATCCCATTTGAACATTTGGAGGACTGGCCTCACTGGCCATTGAATTAAGCTATGGATGGTTTGTTAGAGGCAGATTTGAAGTAGTTTCTCGTTCTCCCTTTGTGGGCAGTGATTCAATGTCAATGTCAGTTTTAAGGCTTGGTTACAGAACCAACCTACCTACAAGAGGAATTATGTAGCTTCATTGTGTTCCTTTCACAAATGGGTATCTACCACTCCATTTCCTCTACGATGTGGATAGACCCCATATCACACTAAGTGGAACCACCTGTTTTGATGCATCATTCCTTCTAGTGTTCCCAATGCCTGACTGCCACTGAGATGTTTGGCATTTAAATGAAAGCAAATCCAACTGTAGGGACAGAAATGGGTGAAGGCCCATGGGTTCTCTGCAAATAAATACATACAAAAAATGGTACTTCTACGTTCCAAGTCATGTCAAAACCATCTAAAATAATAAATCAGCCACTTGACCAAGGGCTGCCAGGAAGAGCAGAGTAACAATTTCCAGAAAAGTCTTCTTTAGTGAAGATCACAACGAAGAGTTGTACCCATAAATTATAGCCAAGAAAGTTAGCTTTTTGATTTGAATTATCTGCATATTCTTAGGCAGTCTTTTTTTTTTATTATGT